GGGAGAGCAGTCAGAAGGGTTTTTTTAACCAAAGGTGACACAGAAATGTAACCCAGCACTGCACTTTTTCTTTCTTTAGAGTCGATTTACCTCTTGTCAGCTCTGCTCTTTGTGTGCAGTACGTCTTAAATTTTAGTAAAAAAATGTGTGTGACTTTCCATCCCCGCACGCCCGAGCGTTGTGCGCGCACAATACGGCATTCACGGCAGTGTGCGTGCAGCTCAAGTGACCGGCGTGCCGAGCGCTTGGGGCGAGCAGCGTGTGGGGCTCGCCCGGCCACCGGGATCTGGCTCACCGGTGCTGAGAGATGGACACCGCTGGGAAATGAGTCCTGATGCAGGTAACGCCGGGTGGGCTCATCTCCCGGCCCACCCTGGCTGCCGGTGTTCCTGAGCTCCCCGCGAGGACGCAGGAATAGCGTAGCTGCTCTCTTCCTTCCCGGAGCGAAGAAGCAAAGGCTGGGGTGAGTGGAGGTGCTCTGCTCGCGGCTCGCTGAGCCGGGAGAGGCCGGGGATAGGAAGCGGGAGCAGCCCCCGGCATTTGGGTCGCTCTGGGGTCCGAGTGCCTGCGGCGTTTGGGAGGCCGGTGCCTGGCGTGGGGCTGTGGCAGCAGCTTTGTCCCTGACCCCTCGTGCCCAGCCCCGAGCAGTTCATTTCCAGCAAGGACCCACGTTTCTTTAACACTGTACATCCCAAACGCCGCCCGCGTTCCCGCTCACGCCTCCGCATCGACCGGGAGCTCAGTCCCCTTCGCCTGTTGGGGGGAAAAGGGCTGTGCCGCTCCCATGGACTGGAAATCTCCTTTATATCCCTGGGGGTTTACTGGGACCGGTCCTGGCCAGCATCTGGGCTGCGGCGGGCTCTGTGCTTTCTGCCAGTTCTCCTCAGTTTGGAGCTGCAGGTTATTTTGCGTAGTTTAAAAGCTGCGTGCGATGGCTGGGGCAGAGCGGGTGTTTCCTCGGAGCACAAAGCACGCCCAGCCCTGGCTGTCGGCCCTCCCGGGGTGGCAGCTTTCTCAGGTTGATCACAACTTTCCCATTATTTGATGGCTTTGATGGAGCCACGGGGTTAAATGAAAAATCTCACTTTTTCTAAGGAAAGAAAAAGGAAAAGAAAGATAACAAATCACTCTAAGCATTAAAAAAGCCTGAACTTGTGGCTTTGAAGATTTACAAAAACAGGAAGTGAATTAAAAAATCCTACATTTATTTATATGTTAAAATCTCGTGGGTGTAACATTGTGATTCAGATCGTTCTGTCTTGGGCTCAGCAATAGCAAAACGATGTTGCTGGGAGCGTAGCTGCCTGCCCCTTCCCGGTGCCGGGGGGCCGGCCCGGTGTTGCCCGGCTTTCTCTTTGGTATTTCGGGATGTTTCAGTGCTGAAAAAAGAAAAAATTGCCCGCGAGTGCCTTTTGCCCTGCCTGTCTGCCTTCTGCTGCTGCCTCCAGCTCCCCTGGGATGGGCAGGGACAGCGTCTGCACGATGGGACCGAGGGCAAGGAGGGCTGCGGCTGCGAAGGGAAAACCCGGGGAGTTACGGGTCCCGGCGCAGCGGGATGTCCCCTTGCTGCTGAGTCGACCAGAGGGGACCGTCCCGGCGATGGCGCTTCCCTGGGCATCGCTGGCCAGAGCCACCGCAGGCGCTGCACCAGCTCTGGCTGCTGCCTGGGGCAGAGCTCCGCAGGGAGGTGCAGGAGGAGATACCTGCCCCAGCTGCTGCTCCACCTGCCAGTGCCTTTGGGCCCAGTTCAGTGTTCTCCGTCCCTGACAGAGATGTCACCTTCCTGGAGAAACTTGGGAACACGCAGTAAATAGCTTGGCTGCCACATTCCCCAGCTCCAACCGAGCTAAGTGACAGCGGAGCCAAAAAACCCAACGGTCGCTGAGAAGACCTTTGGCATCTTAAAAATGAGACTCAGACTCCTGAACTAATCTGGTGGAACATAATTTTGTAGCTCTTCCCAAGTATGCCAGAC